AGGACTGCAAATATGTTTGCACTGCACAATTCGATTGTGATTCAAATAGCTATGATTCAATTAAAAGATAATTATTTGTGCAACATTTAACCTCACCACACACACAAACCAGCACACAGGCGTCAGCCCCTAGATCATTAATAAACACAAGCTATGTATATATATGTTCTGCCATCTCTAAACCAATGCAGCATATTCCTTCACCAAAAAAAACAGCTGAATCTAAAGTGTCTCACCACATCTTTGACCAAAAAATAACCTTCTTTTTCGCTATCTGCCTTTCCTGCTACATTTATATACAGCCCATTAATATTTAGAGCTCAGCAACTCTCCTTCCCTGCTTCTCTTTGAAGCTTACAGAACACCTGCTGTCATGCATTTTAAAGCTGAAGTCTTTAACTTTTCTTCAGCAGCTGTAGCTCCTGCCCCTGTTCCCCTTGTCCGCCCAAAGGCGCTGAAAGCAATCCCTCCTAAACATTGATTCAGCTGCGGGGCAAATGGTGACACAGCATCATTGCACTGATCCAGCAAAGAAGATATCGGTTGAAATGGCACTAAGATGTGTGCTACACTAATCGATTAGTCTACGTTTCGCTCCCTGTTATACGGAAGTTGGTATGAAGTTCATCCTGTAGACTGACACATTTGATGAAAATCTGGTTAATATTTAAGCTAACTAGAAAATTTCTAAAGAACTTTTGAGGGGGGCCACCTACTGCCCGTCTGGGTAACTGGGCCAATACGGCCCTGGCAAGTGACATTGGGGCTCCCCAGACCAACTGCTTACGCCTTGGAGGGCTGCTGAGGGAAGGAAAGAGGGCTAGGTCATGGGCAAAGAGAGCTGTGTGCCACTTGTGCTGAAATCTGGGGAATAGACGTGCACAGCATAAGATGCACAAGGGTAATATGGGTTGTCCATATTGAACCGCAGTGGGTAAAGCGCAGTTGGCGGGCTCCGCCCGCCTGCTAGGAGCCCTTGCAGCGATGAAAAAAATCACCAATGGCAGGCTCCGCCCGCCTGCTAAGAGCCATTGCAGTGATAAAATCACCTTTAGCGGGCTTCGCCCGCCTTCTAAGAGCCATTGCAGTGATGAAATCACCAATGGCGGGCTCCGCCCGCATGCTCAGAGCCATTGCAGTGATGAAATTACAAATGGCTATGAGCAATATGCCAGAATGTATGAGTGTGTATAAGGAAGAGGCTTTTATTCTGTAGAGTCCCTGTAGTGTTATTTTGAAAGTCTATCATGGATGTGCATCAAAAGATGGGTCATGCCCAGCAGTGATATAGAATCCATTTCCAAATGTTAAATCACTGGTTTTCCATGTTATTAGGTGAATAGCTGCTGTATTACAGAGTAAATGGGAGACTTTTATTGTGAAATTTGCTCTGGGGTGTGTTTTGAAAAGGTCACTAGAGTCTAATAAAAACAACCTGGAAGAGTTTGGGTCATAATGTTGAGCCATTTGCATCAATTATTGCATTAGTATAATCTAGAGGCTTTTATTTTGTAGGGTTCCTGGAGTCTTATTTTGAAAGTCCAACACAGTTGTGTTTAGAGAAAATGTTAAGACCCAGCAATGATAGTTGATGACTTTCCAGTCGTTAAATCACTCTTTTTCTATGTTATTAGGGCAGTAGATGAAGCGGAAAGGGAGGCTTTTATTTTGAAATTTGCCATAGGGTGTTTAAAACAGTCTCCTAGAGTCTATTCTCTAAAGTGGGGTTGAGTTTGGGTCATAATGTTGAGCCATATAGGGCAATAAATATATGTAAAAAAATATAGAGGCTTTTATTTTGTAGGGTCCCTGGAGTCTTATTTTGAAAGTCTATCAGTGTTGAGTGGCAAGGGAAGTGTCATGGACAGCAGTCATATAGTATCCATTTCCCAATGTTAAATCAGTGCTTTCACCCTCCATTAGATTAATATGTGCTGTTTAAAAGAGCAGAGGTAAAATGTCTTTGAAGCACGGTCACTTTGACAACGCTTAACGAGCCTGTCAGTGACAGAGAGAAAAGCGCAGCACTATCGTTCCTTCGCTCTCAGGCTTTTTTGAATAGGAGGAACAGCTCCGAACAAACGACTGCTGAGCAAAAACCGTATGAGTTATTCAAAAAATTCCTTCACCGTGAGCGTCAGCCATCCTTAGACTCCAACTATGCCAACTTTGGTGTATGTGTGTCATTCAGAAAAATATTTATGGCGAGTTGAAAACACATAGTGTTGTTCGTTTTTCTTCCCTCTTCTGCTCCAAAACCAATGAAAAACGGCTCTGATTTTCATCGACTTTAGGTCGGTCTGGAGGGTTTTTAAGGAAAAGTATTAATCCTACCGTAATTCTGAAGACACTGTGTGAGTCCAGAGATTTCAGTCTACAAACTGACATAAAATGGTGACTCTAGCTATAAATATGTGGCCGTGAGGGCGAGTTAAAATGTTTTATCTTAAAAAAACGGCCGCCTCACACTAAGATGTCAGCAGCTGCACACTAGCAGGCTGCTGCAGAAGCTAACTGTCAGCTAGCTTCCAGGTGCCTACCCTCCAAACAAACGACTGCTGAGCAAAAACCGTAAAAGGTATTAGAAAAATTCTTTCAGTGAAAGAAACATCTATCCTTTGTCTCAGACTTGGGTAACCTTCATGTCTGTAGGTCTTTCACAACCCAAAACGAAGCACAAACAAAAGGGTGGGTCCCACCTGCTCCTACCATTGGTTTAACTACAGCAGCTCCTCTCACTCATCTTTTTGCTGCTAAAGCACCCCTCCGAACAAACGACTGCTGAGTAAAAACCATAAATGATATCTGAAAAATTTTTTTTATCTAAGCGACAGCTATATCTTTTCTTCAATTGGAGTAACTTTCATGGCTGTAGGTCATCTACAACCTGAATGGGAAGAGAAAGAATAAGAAAAAACGGGTCCTCAGTCCTTAGCTTCTAACTGAGCTAGCTGCAGCAGCTCACTGTCCCCTAGCTTTAAAGTGCTTAGAACACCCTCCGAACAAACGACTGCTGAGCAAAAACCGTATGAGTTATTCAAAAAATTTCTTCACCGTGAGCGTCAGGCATCCTTCGACTCCAACTATGCCAACTTTGGTGTATGTGTGTCTTTCAGAACAATATTTATGACGAGTTTAAAACACATACTGTCAATCGTTTTTCTCCCCTCTTCTGCTCCAAAACCAATGAAAAACGGCTCTGATTTTGATCGACTTTAGGTCGGTCTGGAGGGTTTTTAAGGAAAAGTATTAATCCTACCGTAATTCCGAAGACATTGTGTGGGTCCAGAGATTTTAGTCTACAAACTGACCAAAAATGGTGACTCTAGCTATAAATATGTGGCCGTGAGGGCGAGTTTAAAATGTTTTTTGGTCTTAAAAAAACGGCTGCCTCACACTCTAGCTTTTCAGTTGCTCCACTCTAGAAGGCTGGATTTTGCCAAAACTTTGTGGCGCTTGAGGTCTGATTATACAAAAACCGTAGCAGTTATCAACATGCCGTCTTCAGTTTTATGCAGACGAAGGATTTATCTACAAACTGAGCTTTAAACTGTTTTTCTACATGAATGTATGCCGACACAGTGAAGTGCTGTTTTTTATGCTATTTTTTCCTCTCCCCATTCATTTCCTATGGGGTTTTTTTTGCGACGTTTTCGCTAATAATTCGCGAACCTTCGGACTAATGAGAAAGTTTTATACAAGCACGCATCGCACCATTGGTCCCGACACGTGTGCCAACTTTGGGCCCGATCCGCCAAACCGTGCGGGAATAGTTAGGTGCCGAAGTTTCGTATAATAATACGCGGAAATATGTGCAATAGTAATAGGTGGGCCATGCCTTCGGCATGTGGCCCCCCAATAAGCTATAATAATACGCGGAATAAATATGTGCAATAGTAATAGGTGGGCCATGCCTTCGGCATGTGGCCCCCCTAATTATTTATGTTTGTATCAACTCGGAGCCATTCAAGTCTAGAGCTAGGTATTTCTCCCATCCCTATTCTTTAATTATATTATTATTTTTTTTTATTATTATTGATCATTATCAGGTGTTATTTCTGGTGACTGATTGGAATCAGATTGACCGATTTTCTTCTGATAGAACCCCAGCTCCCCCCTAATCGGTCGTTGGGTCCTTGGGCAAGACACTTTGCCTGCTAGCGTTAAAATATTTTTTTTTATATAGCTGGTTGAGAGATGCTGACAAAGGTACTAACATAAGACAAGGGCCTGAGGTACAGACTGCAAAGAATTTGCCCGTTAAGCCCAGAGAGTTTTAGAACTTAACTTCCATCGGAAAATATACAACAACAAAAAATCAAGAACAATCAAATATGATGCAAACGGGTGTAAAGATAAAAAAAATAATAATAAGACAACACAAAAAAAAGCTTATTGCATTTTCAGCTATTTTTAGATGTAACCATGGCTTATTTATGGTGCGTTTAATTTGTCCTGGGAACTTTCCTACTTTCAAAATCCCTAAATTTCAGCCGTAACGCCAACTTCTGCAGTCAAGATGGACGCTATTCCACTGAACAGTGCGGTAGTTAAATTTTGTTTCAGCTCTTAATTATTTATGGAGTGTTGGTAAGGCAATATGTTTTAATGCTGTGTGGCCTAAATACTGCAATGGTTGAGAAATGGTTTTGTCATTGTTATGGCTGTATTAGTGGCCATGGAGAATGCAAACGTCTGTAGGCTGAAAACTAGAAAGCTTTAACCTCAGATTTTGCATTACGCCAATTTGTTCAGTTTGAGTTTGTAGTATAATAGAGCACACTGCTATTTTTGATTAAACAAAATACCTCTTAATTTGTCTTAAAGCCTAGCCTAATGAGTATAAGCCACTGGAGGCTGCTGGGCCCACCAAGGGGTTAACGCTAACAATAACCCCAAGTTAAAGGCTTGTTTCAGTTTGCTAACTTTAAGCTGATTTTTGTCTTAATCAAAGCCTTTTTCTTCAAACTTCATACATGTTTCAACTTTGTGTCTTTCAGGGTATAAATTAATTGGAAGTCACTCTGGAGTGAAGCTCTGCAGATGGACTAAGGTGAAAAGATTTGAAATTCTTACCAACTCAGCAGGCAACCGATGTTTGAATAACAGCTAGAGTTTTTCTTTTGTTCTATGTTCTTAGTCCATGTTACGAGGCAGAGGAGGCTGCTACAAGCACACATTCTATGGTATTGAGTCCCACCGCTGCATGGAGACTACACCCAGCTTGGCCTGTGCAAACAAGTGTGTCTTCTGCTGGAGGTAAGTTTGTTTTTCTTAATTGGATTTATTCATTTTCAACTAAGGTCCAAATCCTTGGGCAGGATTTGGATGTTGAGCAAAACTAACAACCTTAACTACCTCTAAAAAGATACACTAAATGCTAGAAATAAGTTTATGGAAGTCAAACTTTGATAAACTCTATTGACATTCTAGGCAGCACTTTACAATAAACTGCTTTTTTTGTTTTTAAGAAAAACAGTTGTTTTTTTTACCTAAAAGCTTGGCTTATTTTTATTTCTTATCTTTACTTAAAAACAAAAAAATATCAGAGGCCATTTTTTTTTCTTTTTTTTTCAGCAAGCATTGACAACCCTGGTAACGTTTGAACCAAACCTTCATTTTACGGCTCAGGCAAAACAAAATTAGTAAATTCACAAACCGTATTATGTCCAGGACAGCTCCCTGTCAAAAATGTCATCACAGTTATAGAATAGAATTACCATTCAATTTAAATTGTTATTAGATTATTGTCCCTGCCTGTGGATTTGACAGGTTTTCCTTTCATTTGCAAGGCATGTGGTAGAAGTCTCTGATTTTTATCATATGTTCTCTTCAAATGTGACAGAATCTAAAGCAAAAATCCAGAAATGACATTGTCTGATTTTTCTCTTATTAATATAACATACACATTTGATCTCTGACTAACCAGTAAAAATTCAGGCTCATACAGGCCTATTAGTCCTTCTTTAGGAAGTCCTGTTCTTGACTCATTAACTGCATTAACTATTTGAACTCGTTATCTCTATAAAAGACACCTCTCCACACAAAGACCAGAGAGCTGTGAACGACATCAGGCTTAATAGACCTGCACACCTGGGAAGAGCTTCAGGAAAATAGGCAAGCAGCCAGATCAAAAGGCAACAAGTGCTGGTACAGTTATAAGAAATGAAAGAAGATCAAAATGACGGGCAATCTCCCTTAATCTGGGGCTCGATGCAAGATCTCACCTTTCAGGGCATTAATGAATATGAGGAAGGTCAAGGATCAGCCCAAAACTAAATGGCAGGACTATGGTAAATGACCTGAATGGAGCTGAGACCACTCTCAAAGACCCGCTCTGGATTTAAATCCTGCAGCACACACAAGGTCCTCCTGTTCTAGCCAGCACTTGTCCCGGCCTGTCCGAAGTTTGCCTCAGACCATTATGATGATCCATAGAAGGAATTGGTTACGGACATATGGTTTGATATGACAAAAATAAAGCTACTTTGGTCTAAACTCCACCCACCGTGTTATGACTTACCAGGATGAATGCAACCCCAATAATGTTGTCCCAACCATAATGCACGTAGGGCGACAGGGTAACTGCAAATTATTAAGGGAAGGATAAATGGAGCCATACACTGTCCGAGTTTTTGCCCTTTTCAGTACTATGCTCCAGGCATGCGAGAATTGTTGGGATCGGGCTGAGTTTCGTCCTCATTGTGCGTCCGGCGTTGTTTTGTGTTGTGTAGGGGAGCAATCGGGAGTTATGGTCTTGTTCAGTAACCCAGAATGGAGGCAGTGGGGATCGCACTGGGTACTTGCAACCTTTTCAGAGCACACGTGCACTGCTCTAACCCACTAGGCCAACACTCCACATTAAACTCTGCGGTTTCGTCGTACAGTTTGAGCTGTAGTTGAGTACAACGATTCAAAATATTGTACAGCGTATGCCTGGCCTTAGGACATCTTAGGTGGGTCGAGACTGGGTCTTTAAGCATGAAAACAGCCCAAAGCACACAGTCAGAGCAGCAGCCAGAGCTGAGGCCCATAAGAAATAAAAGGCTGAAATGGCCTAGCGAGGCTTCAGAATTAAATTCAATACAAAATCTTTGAAAGGAACAGAAAGTGTGTTTTGCCCAGCGACACACCTGAAGGGTCTGGAGAAGATTTGAATGAAGAAGTGATCAAGCGTCCCTCCTGCAGTGTGTGCCAATCTGGTCAAGAACTTTAGGAAGCTTCTGATATCTGAAATAGCAAAAGAAGGTTTCTGTACAAATTATTTAGCTTTGTTTTCTAATGTAGCAAATACTTATGTCATGCAATAAAATGCATTTTTTCTTGAATTTCACAGACTTGTACATAAGCCTCTGTATGTGTGTGTATATACAGTTGTTCATGGTATAATATGCCATGAACCAAAACATCTATAATGTTTGGCCTTTTCTTTGGATAAAACATGTAATAAGTCACATTAACAAACAAAAAAAAATGCATATCTTAGAACTTCCACCTGTTAGTAAGTCAAAGTAATTATTTACATACAAAACACTTGTGTTGAGTCTAAATGTGAACACTGATTCATTCTGGCACTGGCGAGAGAGCTGAGCGTTTGGTCCCCTCAAGTTCCATTTCAAACAGAGGCTATGAAAGGTCGCCATAAGAACGTGCTGCGGTGAAACTGCGTGCCTGTCAACACAGATCTGCTAGTCTTTCTGAAGGCTGTTATGTGGGATGACAGGAAATAAGCTATTTCAGGGCACAGATGCATTGCTGCTCTGGCCATCACCTTGCTGTCACAACAGCTGCTATTAGAATGTTGAGACTTATAACAGTGGAATTCATGTTAGTACTTATAATAGATGACTACACACAGCACTGATGACATTTATTTGAAATAGACATCAGCCTTTAGACAACCCTTTTCACACTGATAAAAATATAGATTATATAGAATTTAAAATGTATTCACCTTGGATGCCCATTAGGATTTTAATTGACTTATCCAGGGAGAGACTCTTCAGGAAGCCAAACGGTCATAATTTAAAAGATAAAAAGTTAGGGTGACATTTATGGACAAACAAAAGGAGGCTGTGCAGTAAAGGTAGATTTACAATATTACAATTGGTTATTAAAAACTCAAAAGTAGAGCTTGGTAGGGTGAATTTAAAAAAGGCTATCATGTTTTGCAAGTCTCAAATTGGTTTCAAGCTTTTATGATGAAGTCTTGAGTCAAGTCTTACAACTAGAGATTTGTGATAAACTTGGAAGTTCTTTCATCGAGTACACTCTATGGTAAAGCCAACTCACCAGATCTTTCCAAAATGCCTAAAAAAAAGTTACGAACAATTTTTTATGACATTCTTATCAGAGGTGTGCCTCATGCCAAGAAACAATCCATTACATTTTGGTGAGGATCCAGATCATATTTTGGATATAGGATTAAAAAAAAAAAATCTCAGACATTATGAGATTGCAGAATCAGGCAGTTCCCCTCTAAACCAGAGGGTGGCAGCAGTGACTATTGACCGCCTCAGTATCGGACTCAAAAAGTCTGCAGGTGTTTTACTGAAGACAAAAACACAAGAAAAGGGAATGTTGTTGGATCACGTGCAAGTTCTAGTTATACTTCAGTCAAGAGGGGGCAAAATTTGCTGCTTGGTGGAGGTCTACACTCTGAGTGCTCTTCTAGTTTCTATAAGCAATGTGTGATAATCAAAGTATATTTAATAGCAGGTATGAATACTTTCATGAAACATGTTGCAGGAGCAGCTTGAGGCCTTCTCTAAGAGAGGTTATTGAAAAGATGACTTCTTCTTAATGCACTCTGGTGTAATTCTGCAGTAGGCAACATAGATGCCTTCCAATAGTGTTAAGTTTCAGAATGTCGATTTTATTTAACTGTCGCATCTTGTCTGCAGGACATATGTTGTGTCTCCAAATTTGCAGCCTCATACTCCCACAATAAGGCCAAGTCTGCCGTTACAACAGAGTTATATGCCATGTTAGACCCTCTCTAGGATTAAAGAATAGCAGCTGATTTGTTTATGCTTTTTTAATGTTTTAAAACAATTTTAGTGATTTTCGGTGTGTCAACTGTCACCACTTTTATCAGACATCACACCAACCCAGTGGGGACTGAATGGCGCTGGAAAATGGACCCAGCAGAGAAAATCTTGCAGGATGGTCTGGAAAAGCACCAACTCATGATACGGCAGTTCAGAGGTGAGTGTTTGAGCAGGTTCTGGGTTGGAGTTCATGTGTAATGCTGGAACTAATCAGATTTTAGGAACGGGCTCTCCCCTTATGCTTTACAAACAGCAACAGTTGCACTCAGCGCCACTTTATCATGTGCACATTGCATCCTGGCAGTCTTCCTGCTCACGACCTCTTCCAACCTTGAGTTTAATGAAGAAGAGTGAAAATTAAAATGCAGCTGTTGTACCCGCTTTTTCGTCACAGCTTTGCCACCGTGCCTCATAAATCACTTTTCAACTGTGTTCCTCACACACTAACACGCACGGTACACTTTCACCATCTGGAACTTCCTGTCTGAACGTACATTATTTCTGTCTGTTCACTTGGAGCTTTAAAGCCAACGCAAAACCGAAATCATATAAGCCTCTTTTGACCATTTTTCAATAAGAAATTAGAATAAATAAATAAAAAAACCTTCCGGATATTTTAGTGCTATATAGGTAAAATGAGTAGATGCACACAAAAACTAAATTGTACAAAAAAGAAACTAAATTTTACAAGCAAAGCTCCACAAAACAAAAATAAATCATATTTAAGAAGAAAAAAATCACTTTGCATTAATCAACAAATGTCTATTCAGGTAGAGATGAGAAATGTAAAAATAGAAACATGGGATGATTTTTCAGCTTGATCTTTTACTGCTCTGGTTTAAAATGTTCCTCCTTTCGAAGCTTCCAGTTTACCTGGAAGCAGCTGGCTGTCGGCCAAAGTACAAAGAAAAGTCTCTGATTGTAAGATAAACAAGCCAGGTTTGCCTGTATGGGTTCATCTGGAAGAAAAAAAAAACAATATGTACATACAAAATCAGGGCAGACTTGGATAAACCCAATTAGTAAAAAACCTTAATAAACACTTCAATTACTCTGTACAGAAAACAGATACATTGAAACAGTGACTGTCTTTGAACTTATCAGCAGCAGCAACCACATATTAACGTTCAACACTCTGCTTGTATCCTGCAACATATTCTTCTGCGAATGCTCAATCAAGCCCAGTGCCCGGTGATCTATAGAAATAGCCTCTATGCAGCCATAATAGAAAACGTTTTATATCTTATAGAGTGGGACAGAACGACATGCTGCAGCCTTTAAACATTTTGTAAGTACTAATAATACTAATAAGGCTGAACTTACCTGTAACTCCTCAGCCTGCAGAAATCACTTGGAGGAGAGATAAAATGTTTCAACAAACATCTAATAATTTGTTCACCTAAATTCGTGTCAAGAGCTACTTGACATATCTGGTTCACATGATTTCAGTTCAGTGGTGCTGAAGCAGTGAATCATTTCATATAATAACAATACTAAACTTTATTTGAAAAGGACAGTGTACAGCTCAAACATAAATATCACCGTATGATGCACTGTATCATGAAGGACACTGAGAACTCCATGTTGAATGTTTCCATTGGTAGAACTTGAATTTAAAACTTGACCTGTGAATCTCTTCAGTTCATCTTTAAAGGTATATTAGGGGATTTTCAGGAATTTTTGAAAAGACACGCTCTCTCCAATTAAAAATAAAAATAATGCACATGCACAACCCTGTACCCGCTCCTGCACGAGGCCCATTTCTCCTCGTGCACGCTCTGTATAAAAGTCATTGTTTGCATCGCTCATGCAAGCTTACTTTCCAAAAGAAGATTAGCATTTTTTCCACTATCTCACACTCTCCACAGGTAAGGAAAAATGTATTTATGACAAGCAAACCTTTAGAAAAAAAATATGTGTAAAGCCAATCGTAATACAGATATTGTGAATGCAAATATGGATGGATCTCATCTCACCCATATTTACAGGTGCTGGTCATAAAATTAGAATATCATGAAAAAGTAGATTGATTTCAGTAATTCCATTTAAAAAGTGAAACTTGTATATTATATTCATACATTACATACAAACTCATATATTTCAGATGTTTATTTTGTTTAATTTTGATGATTACAAATGACAACAAATGAAAATCTCAAATTCATCATATCAGAAAATTAGAATATTGTGAAAAGGTTCAAAATTGATGGCCCCTGGTGCCACACTCTAATCAGCTAATTAACTCAAACCACCTGCAAAAGCCTTTAAATGGTCTTTCAGTCTAGTTCTATAGGCTACACAATCATGGGGAAGACTGCTGACTTGACAGTTGTCCAAAAGACGACCATCGACACCTTGCACAAGGAGGGCAAGACACAAAAGGTCATCGCTAAAGAGGCTGGCTGTTCACAGAGCTCAGTGTCCAAGCACATTAATAGAGAGGCGAAGGGAAGGAAAAGATGTGGTCGAAAAAAGTGTACAAGCAAGAGAGATAACCGCACCCTGGAGAGGATTGTGAAACAAAACCCCTTCAAAAATGTGGGGGAGATTCACAAAGAGTGGACTGCAGCTGGAGTGAGTGCTTCAAGAACCACCACACACAGACGTATGAAAGACATGGGTTTCTGCTGTCGCATTCCTTGTGTCAAGCCACTCTTGAACCACAGACAGCGTCAGAAGCGTCTTGCCTGGGCTAAAGAGAAACAGGACTGGACTGCTGGTGAGTGGTCCAAAGTCATGTTCTCTGATGAAAGTAAATTTTGCATTTCCTTTGGAAATCAAGGTCCCAGAGTCTGGAGGAAAAGAAGAGAGGCACTTCATCCACGTTGCTTGAAGTCCAGTGTAAAGTTTCCACAGTCAGTGATGGTTTGGGGTGCCATGTCATCTGCTGGTGTTGGTCCATTGTGTTTTCTGAGGTCCAGGGTCAACGCAGCCACATACCAGGAAGTTTTAGAGCACTTCATGCTTCCTGCAGCTGACCAACTTTTTGGAGATGCAGATTTCATTTTCCAACAGGACTTGGCACCTGCACACAGTGCCAAAGCTACCAGTACCTGGTTGAAGGACCATGGTATCCCTGTTCTTAATTGGCCAGCAAACTCTCCTGACCTTAACCCCATAGAAAATCTATGGGGTATTGTGAAGAAGAAGATGCAATACACCAGACCCAACAATTCAGAAGAGCTAAAAGCCACTATTAGAGCAACCTGGGCTATCATAACACCTGAGCAGTGCCACAGACTGATCGACTCCATGCCACGCCGCATTGCTGCAGTAATACAGGCCAAAGGAGGCCCAACTAAATACTGAGTGCTGTACATGCTCATATTTTTCATGTTCATACTTTTCAGTTGGCCAACATTTCTATAAATCCTTTGTTTTTATTGGTCTTCAGTAATATTCTAATTTTCTGATATGATGAATTTGAGATTTTCATTTGTTGTCATTTGTAATCATCAAAATTAAACAAAATGAACATCTGAAATATATGAGTTTGTATGTAATGTATGAATATAATATACAAGTTTCACTTTTTAAATGGAATTACTGAAATCAATCTACTTTTTCATGATATTCTAATTTTATGACCAGCACCTGTATTTATAAGACTACAAGACACAAATAAGACTACTGGTACATTGAAAAAATAAAAAAAAACGTGTTTGGGGTAAACAAGGATGATGCAAATTACAAAATAAATATACTTACCTGCCCTGGAAAGTTTCAATATAGAGGTAGATACATTTTACTATCAGTGATGTGAAATGGATATCTCCAAATAGTATGCCAAACTTTGCCTGTTGAATAGAAATTTTGCAAACGAGGCATCAGTGGGAAACCCGTCCTGTCCTTTAAGTGTACGCCATCACGTGAAAGAATCTCCCAAAAACACTCTTGTTTCTCTCTTCTGAGGCCTTTCTCTTCCTCTCATACACTTCGTTGACACTTTTTATCTTACAACCCGCAGCAGTTTTCAAAGAATCGCGGTGAGAAAGGCAAGCTTGACTGGATAAAAATATAGCTAGCTGGGGACGAGCACATACAGTAGGACAGCTTAACGTAAACATATCACTAAATGATTGACAATTAGGAGGACCACTTATTTTGTTGATCCACCCGGAAAAAAAAAAAAAAAAAATCCTCCACTATACCTTTAAGTCATTGACTAATCCAAACTCTTTGACCTTCAAATGTCCTGACTCCCCTGACTCTCTGCCTCCAGGTGTCCCTGGAGTGAAGCCTGAGCGGTATGAGGAAGGTTTGGCCGTCAAGCACTGTGCCCTGTCCTTGGTGGGCGAGCCAATCATGTATCCGGAAATCAACACCTTTCTTCGCCTCCTTCACTCTCATGGCATCTCCAGCTTCCTGGTCACGAATGCACAGTTCCCAGAGGAAATCAGGTGGGTGGAATTAATGCTATATTGTTTGGAGAGAGGTTTCTTATTTTTATATGAGAATATGTTCACATATCTTAAAAAATCTTATTTTTCCCTTTATATTTTACTTTTAAAAAGTCTTACTTTAAAGCTACAGTGTGTAATAATTACAGGGATATACAGTCAGAAATGTAATATATTACACATAACTATGTTATTTATCATCATCTACGAGCTCAGCCTCTTAACCTTAATATTTGCGTTGCCTTAGAATTCGTTATTTATAATTACATAGGAGCGGGTCTCGCAGCCATGGAGGCAGACATCTTGCTACGGCAGCGCAGAGCCAAAAAACTAGCGATTGCGAGATCACCCATTACGCTCGAAAGTAACTACGGCAAGTTGAGAGAGATGAACTGAGACTGTACTGAAATCTATACCCTACACAGACTAATGAAATACTATCTGTAAAATTATCTATGTAAACAAACCTCATCACTTGAGAAGGTAGGTGATGCGGACGTCGTGGAAGACATTTTGTCCAGTAACGCTCGTCGTACTGTTGGGTGGGGGGGGGGGGGGGGGGGGGGCATGTTCATGTTGCTGCGGTCTGCAGTCTGGACGTTAGATGTCGCTAAAAATTACACACTGTAGCTTTAAGTTCCTCTGATATTTTTTTTGGTATATGCTTTATTTACCTACTGTAGAAACATAAGAAATTAAAAAAACTGTGCAAGGGCAGCAGAAAGCCTTAAGAAGTGTTGATCAAGAACACTAACTCATTCAAACAATATCTGGCTTTAGGGGAGTTATATACAAATAATTAAAATGTGTCTCAAAATCTTTAGTTTGAGTACCTGAAACAGCTTGACTGCCTGCAAGGTGCATGGGGAGGACAGAGAGAAAGTTATGGTTGAAAACAAAGAGAGCAGGCAGGTTGTGGCATTCTTTTAGAAATCACTGCCTTCACATGTAGCAGACGTTTTTTGCAGATGTTTGTGGTTAATTTGAACGCTTCAGAAACATGACCGGTGTTGTTTTCATTGTGAAGGAAGATGTAGTTTTCAGATATGCTCCTCAAAAACACTAATTAGTCTCAAAGCAGAATTTGGATAACTTGGATAACCTTCTTAAATATTAACTACACTCCAACTTTTTTGAGTTTCTTTGAATATGAAGTGACATTTTGACGCGTGGATTTTGCAGTGCTCAGCAACTTTAAACCTGTCTGTCCAGAACCACTTCAAGGTTGTTAAGACATCCCACACACAGCTAACCAGCCTGTCAGCGACTCACTTATCACGCACTTGTCCTTTAAGGTGAAGGCAAGGATACCAGTCAGCAGCTCCTCTTTTTTTTCTTCTTTTTTTGTCCAGAGAGCTGCCTTGGTAAAGAAGAGCTTTTTTGGTTTCCTTAAGAGGGCAGAGATATTCACCTTTTTTACAATTAATTCTGTTCTAATTTTGCTTTTCATTTATTCATTAGTTAATTATAAGAAATATAGTCTATTTCCCAAAATAAAGGTCATGGATTAGCGGACCGCTGTCCGGATCCAGACCCACCTGCTGGCTAATCCGGACCCAACCTGATTTGAAACATTTATAAATTACCACATGTTGTCTGACGACAGTGTCTAAACGTCACTTGCACCGCTTCTACTGTTACCCCGAAATCCCACATACTCTGTCACCGCTCCGCCTAGCTGTGCTCCAGACCGCCTGTGCGAAGCAAAGCCTACAGCCTCCGCTGTTCCTCACGTATTGATGCGCTCCGACTTATAGGTACAGTTTCTGATGGAGATGAGAAATCTGCTTCCTGGTCTGTTGAAGTACCAATAGTTTGCATCCAATCTTTTAAATAAACAGCATTAGTTGAAATATATAATAATTTGTTGCTACCGATCTGTAGTTACTATATTTTATACTTATATTTATTTTGTCGTTTTCTATACACAGGTGTACTCAAAAAGAAATTCAGTTTAGAACAGCTTTCTAGACAATTTAATTTTTTAAAGTGCAGCCTTGATAAGTTAAGCAGCAGCTCCTAGAGCACTCGCATCTTTTAATTTGACAAACCGGAACTTCTCGCTGCTCTTTTTCCTGTTTGGTGCGATTGTAATAGCAGATCTTGACCCGGCCGGACTGGAGATGACCCTGCACATTTTGAATATGTTTGGCTAAACTTACTGCTGTGAAGCAGGATTCTCCACCATGAACAGAATCAAAAATAAATATGGATCCAGGCTCAAAATGATCACCTCGATATGTGCTTGAGAATGGCTTTGTCTCCATTCAAACCCAGGTTTAAAGCCTTGCAGGGCAGCATAACACCCACTGCGAACATTAAGCCAGAAAAAAGAAGAAAAAAAAGATCAAACTTTCAGTTCAATAGTTTTATAAAATGTATGAATCAGGCAAATTGTCTATATACCAAACTGAAAGATTGCTGTTCTCTACTTCAAGAAAAACTTTAGATTTTAAAATGGAAAATTGTTCTATTTTATATATATATATATATATATATATATATATATATATATATATATATATATATATATATATATATATATACATATATACATATATATATATTATATATATATATATATATATGTATGTATATATGTATATATATATATACATATATATATATACATATATATATATTATATATATATATATACATATATACATATATATATATATTATATATATATATACATATATATATATTATACATATATATACATATATATATATTATACATATATATACATATATATATATTATACATATATATATGTATTATAATTAAAAATGTCTCCGGACCTTTACTGGTTGAGGATTTTCTTTATTCGGACCCCGCTGGTTTTTTAATTGGTGACCCTTGGGATAGATGGTTGGTTATGACTGATATTCTTCTGACTAAATCGTTTACCCATAAGTACTATTTTGGTACATTTAAGGCAGGTAACTAATGTATTAATACATGCAAAAGAAGGTCCAGTTAAATAAAAGAACATACTTTTTAAAAGCCAGATTTTGTGTTTATGAAACATCTTTTTTTTTTCTAATATAATATTCTGATTTATGGAGACAGTGGACTAATATTTCATCCTGTGTATTGAATCTATTACAATATACTGTGTAAGTTTTACTTTCTAAGAATGGAAAAGAGTGGAAAAATATCTTACTTTTTATCAATATTCCAATTTCTTCTCATTTTTTTTATGTACAATTCTTTCTTATTTAAAGCGTTAAATTTAATCTTCACCTGAATGTCTTTCTTACACATATTTGCTGTTTGTTTTCCCCTCAGGAACCTGGTGCCAGTGACTCAGTTGTATGTCAGTGTGGATGCCAGCACCAAGGATAGTCTGAAGAAGATTGATCGGCCGCTTTTCAAGGACTTCTGGACTCGTTTCCTGGACAGTCTCGAGGCTTTGGGAGAAAAAGTAAGTTCTGCTATTTTGATTTAGGTGTTGCTGGTTGAATCTATATTTTACTTTAATGCCTGAAAACACAAATCCATCCATCCTTCCTTCCTTCCTTCCTTGAAAAAAAAATATCATTTTACTTGCATGAACCTTTTTGACTTTGCTGTTTGTTACTTTGTGTTTTACAGCTTATAAAGCTGCAGATAATCAATCTTTAATGTTCCTCAGAATTTATGCTTGCTTAGCATTTGAAAACAATTCAATAGGCTGATAGACTGCCTCCATCAATGAACAATGCCAGTGTAGCAAAATCTTGTTAATTTCTTAAAATTTGGTATGATTTGATTTTATTCGGGCACATTTTAGAACTTTGTCTGATTTCAGTTTTACATCCTTCTGCAGAGAATATATACTTATATATATAAAAAAAAAAAGCTAATCAGATGTCATGCAATGAGGTGCTGACATGTTTCATGTTAGCAAGAATGCTCTGATTAACATTTAACTGAAAAGGTGAGAGAGCCTTAAAATGTTGAATGTCACGTGATGAGAGACCATGGGCTAGATGTAGTTAGAAACCACATTAAAGAGCAGAAACAGATTTGTCGTACCGTTCTATGTCACATTTTCTTTAAATGACTTCGTTAAAAAGAAGAAGTTGTCCAGAGAGCTGTTCCAAACAAAATTTCTTTTTGTTTTACACTTCTGTAAACAAAATGACAAATAAATCTGTCTATGTCTACGTCTTCTTCTCTTAATTTACATGAACAATTCTGCAGCATTTTTTATGCTTTTCTTGTATTTTTGAGGAACAGTTTCTTCCTCTCTTATCCTAATTAACCATTCAAACTGTGTTAAGTATCAGAAATCAAGGATTACATCAACACGTTTCAGAAGAGCTGGCTGATAATAAATCTGTACCCTCTATGCAAAAATGAAGCTCACTTTGTATAAATGTATCGGCCCTTTGGCTGACATCTAGGCTTCCTCTCCCTGGATTTGTTGTCGCGAGATTACAGTCCAAATGCTGGAATTAGGTCGATGCTTAATTCCAATAATTGTAACTGCAACAGAAACTGTGTTTTTAAACACTTCCATATTTGCACATACACATAAGAAACCGTTTTGTTTGCGGATCTCCAGTTAGCACTTTAAAAACATTGACTGGTCGCGTGCTCCACACAGTCCAGACTCTGTCATTAACTCAGACTCATCGCATGGGTGCTTGGAGGCAGGTGAATAGCTGCTCTCCTGCCCCGCAAGCTGACAGGAGACCAACCTTTGAAGACGGGTAGCTGGTTCAGGTTCAGCAGGTTTAGAAAAAAGAATCATAGCTCTGCAACTGTGTAGCTGTAGCTGCAGGTAGTCTAGAGCAATGTCTCATAGGGTAAATCTGACAGTTTGCATATGAAGGGGAGACATAAATATCACCTCTGTGTGGAGAAACTACCGTATTAAAAGAAATAGGAGTGGACATGATTATCAAATGCACATAATAGAAAGAAGATATGAGTGCAGCCCAGGAAAAAAAAAGACCTCTTCTCAATGACAAGTCAATCATAGCGGCGGCAGGAAAGAGACATCAATTTCGTGGTAAGTTAGATATTAGTGATATCATTCCGATTTCTGAGCCGTGTCAGCCGTGTTTTTTTTTAACATGGTAGCTTTGTTTACCAATAATCCCTGACTGGAGCAGCTTCAGTGTATCATCAACCCATCTCATTTTTACTGTTGCAGCAAACAAGGTAAAAAAAGAAAATAAAGTAAGACAATTCAACACCAGTCCAGGAGTTTATGGGTGTGTTGGATTTCAGAGGCTGCATATACCAAGTCCAGGTAGACCGGATACTTGGAGGTCCATGAAAATAAGGAGGCCGGAAGAGTTTTGGCTGTGGATTCAAAGAGCTCCAGCCTCCCCCGGCTTTCACCGCCTGTAAGCTCTTTCGCCTAGCAACCGTGACACCTGTCACACAAAGCAGACAAAGAATGGATGTCAAACTTCTACTGTTATTCTGGGTGCTAATTACATTTTAGAGGAGCTTCAGCAGCAGTACCGTTGTCATGAATATCATATTTATAGTCCTCACACTGTAGGGATATTGGAATCTGTGCTTAAATGTCAGCCAAACCCATTTGCAGAGGGACAAATAAAACTTTTAAATAAACCAAACATCTGCCACATATCTGACACAGTAACCATAAAAAAACATTTTCATTAATTTAGGATGGATCGATTCACATATTGTATTTTATTAAACAATATTCAGCACTGTTTGGCTCCATTTCCCTTTTTCCTCTTAGCACAGAGCAGCCGGCTGCATTTGTCAGCCGCATGATAAGGAGTTTTCCAATCCGAACAGGCTATGGCGCCCTGTTATGACATAATACGCTGACGAATCTGGCCTTTGGAGGACGCAGCCACTGAATTTGAACTCAGCATATGTCAATTCTGTCAGCTTGCACCAGATCAGAGGTCTCAAACCCTCAAGATCCACTGTCCTGTTTGAGATGAATCCCTGCTTCAACACAGCTAAATGAAATGAATGTCTCGTTAACAGACCTTTGCCAAACTTCATGGCATGCTGAATAATTCACTCATTTGAATGAGCTGTGTTTGATCAGGATCCATCTAAGATCTGCAGGACAGAACATCTTGAGGACCAGAGTTGGAGTCTGCTGATCTAGAGCAATCTGTAGTTGGAGAGCTGATGTTTTTAAGCAGCATGGAGGTCCATCCTAGGCATTTTCCAGATAGCTTATTTGTGCTGTGAGCTCAGAATAGCTTCTTATGTTTGCTTTGATAAGTCATTTTAATTATGTACCTTTGTATGTATTCAAACAGGCTTGTGTTGAATGATTAGATTATCTGCAGAACAATGCTTTAGTTAAGGCTTTAATTAAGAGCAGCACTAATTCACACAGGAAACTGTGTGCATTAATATATTGAATGGGTTTCAGTGTTGTTATAATGTCACTATAATTACACTGTATTTAATTTTACGTTCTCTTATTGACTGGCTTGGACTACTGCTAAGCAATGATAACCAGGATAATCTAATTAAAGATGTGTTGTATTTTGTTTTCTTAACAATGCTCTAAATGTTAGTCTTTATTTTCCATTTTGAAATGGTTGTGTATCATCTCTTTACTTAAAATACATTTATCCTTATAGGATTTTTCGAACAGTGCTTTAATTCCTGAAACATGCTTATCTAACTTCCATTACTGTCATTGGGAGAAATTCAGTGAAGTAAAACTGTACTCTCTGCTGCTAACAGCTTAAATAGCTCCTTGTTTGTTCTTTTCCATGATGGGAGGCTGTATTAAACAGGTTGAAAGGTTTTTAAGCCTCTAACATTCTGAGATGGATTTGCTTAATTTTATTGAGTTTTAAACTTTAGCAAACTTTAACAACTGGCCACTTTCTTTAGTGGGGGTTCAGTGTCTCAGTCATGTTTACTGTAGTCTTAGTAAATCATAGAGGCTTTTATCCTTCACAATGTTGAACCGTTTGCACAAGTTAGGTCTCTCTTAGTGTTCTGCTTAAGGCTAAAGAAAATAAATAGGGATATGGTGAACTACCAAGCAAATAAGTTAAAAAGTAAAACATTGGTTTAATGGTGCCTCAGAGGAGACCCTCACAACACTCTCCTCCTTTTTGTATGCAAGGTACATTGAGTAAAATAAGTATTGGAACACCCTGCTATTTTGCAAGTCTTCCCACTTAGAAATCACAAAGTCTAAAACAAAAAAAAAAATCCAGAAAAATAAAATCCAGAAATCACAATATATGATTTTGTTTTAACTATTTGTCTGTATTTGAACACCTGTCTATCAGCTAGAATTCTGACCCTCAAAGACTTGTTAGTCTGCCTTCAACATGTCCACCTCCACTCCATTTATTATCCTAAATCAGATGCACCTGTTTGAGGTCGTTAGCTGCATAAAGGCACCTTTCCACCCCATACAATCAATAAGAATTAGGGGTGGAACGGTTCACAAAATCCACGGTTCGGTTCACGGTTTGGTGGTCACGGTTTTCGGTTCAGTTCTGTATATGTTGATTGTTAGCCTGACATGTTGGTCGTGTTGCTGTTAGCATAAACAAAACGTGTTGCACAATGCTTGCACACTGTTTTATCCACAACTTTCTTTCCACCGTCATCATAGGTCACTCTAAATGCAAAGCGCTCCCATACAGCAGACCTATAAAGTGCTGCTGGCGCGTCTTCCAACTCCTGTTCTTTCCCACTCGCCATACCCACACAATTCTCCACAACAACAGATTTTTTTCTCTGCTACACCCGGCTACGCTGCTTCGCTTCTTCTTCTTGTTTACTAGTGGTGGTTGGCTCTGGTCACAGTACCACCACTTTCTGCTCTTGAGTGTACACGCTTAGCTTATGAGAAAAAGGAGCAGCGCATAAACCGAACGCAACACACGCGAATCAAATCGAGACAGTCGAACCGAACGGTTCGGACGGTTTTCAAAAACCGTTCCATCCTTTGTAAGAGTCCAACTACTAACATGGCTAAGACCAAAGATCAGTCTGAAGACACTAGGGACAAAAACACCTCCACAAGGCTGGAAAGGGCTACGGGGAAATTGCCAAGCAGCTTGGTGAAACAAGGTCCACTGTTGGGGCAATTATTAGAAAATGTAAGAAGCTAAACATGACTGTCAGTCTCCCTCGGAGTGGGCCTCCATGCAAGATCCCACCTGGTGGAGTCTCAATGGTCCTAAGAAAAGTGAGAAACCAGCTCAAACTACACGGGAGGAGCTGGTCAATGACCTGAAAAGAGCTGGGACCACTGTTTCCAGGGTTACTGTTGGTAATACATTAAGCCGTCATGGTTTGAAATCATGCATGGCATGGAAGGTTCCCCCTGCTTAAACCGGCAAATATCAAGTTTGCCAAAAAGCCATTAGGATGATCCAGAGGAGTCATGGGAGAAAGTCATGTAGTCAGATGAGACAGAAATAGGACCTTTTGTTTGTAATTCTACTAAACGTGTTTGGAGGAAGAAGAATGATGAGTACCACCCCAAGAACACCATCCCTACTGTGAAGCATGGGAGTGGTAGCATCATGCTTTGGGGTGTTTTCAGCACATTGGAAAGGGAAACTGCACTGTATTAAGGAGAGGACGACCGGGGCCATGTATTGCGAGGTTTTAGGGAACAACCTCCTTCTCTCAGTTGGAGCATTGAAGATGTGTAGAGGCACAAAGCACACAGCTAGGACAACCAAGGAGTAGCTCTGGAAGAAGCATATTTAGGTTCTGGCGTGGCCAAACCAGTGTCCAGACCTAAACCGAACAGATAATCTTTGGAGGGAGCTCAAACTCCAAGTTTCTCAGTGACAACCCAGGAACCTGACTGATCCAGAGAAGATCTGTGTGGAGGAGTGGGCCAAAATCCCTCCTGCAGTGTGTGCAAACCTGATGAAAAACTACAGGAAACGTTTGACCTCTGGAATTGTAAACAAAGACTACTGTACCAAATATTAACAAATATTTATGTGCAGCTATTTCATACAAATTAATAGTTAAAAAAATCACATATTAAGATTTCTGGATTTTAAATTTTTTTAACCTTATATGCTAAAATATACAAAGCTGCTTGAATCCATTTGGAGATAAAATAATGTAGTTTGTTTATTATATTTAGAGAACATAGAATTTATGTTAAATGTGGCAAAATGTAATCAGGATTTGTATTTGTGGAAAATGTTACGACATTTCTGTTTATACTGTTCAATCAGAAGAATAGAAGACATAAAAATAGTGTATAAAAAATAAGAGATTTAATAATTTAAGGTTAATACCATTATTTGTGATTCGATTATTTTCTTTCACCCTCCAGAAGTAAATATCTAGACCCCAATAAATAAATGTCTAAACCCCAAAGTTTTTTTTTTTTTATTTTGGAGTGTGCTCATCTCCATTCTTTCCCTACCACTCCTCTCTTTGCCTAATTTTCGACAGCCTTTCTTCTTTACTCCACCTGGCCCCCTGCCATTGCTTTGGGAATTGTCAGAGTTGTGGGTCTGTGTCAGATTTGGAATCATGGCAGCTTGAAATATCTCACCTCCCTGCTGCTACTGGCCAATTATCCCCTTCTCTACCAGCCTGAAAGGACCTAATGTTGCAGATAACCTTCCAGTGCAAGGTAGAAATTGGAAGGAAATGAAGGGAGGTTGCGGTCTCCTCTCCTCACTGTTTATAATGCTGGGTAGCAGAGTCAGAGTGGAGACGAATGAGAAGCATCAGCAATTTCTTTTCTTTGGATTAGCCATTTCTCATGATAATTTATTCTCACCATCACATACTAACTTCTCATATCCCTATTCTTGTGCTTATTCTCATCTCCATCATGTCACGTATCCAATACCGACAGTAATGTTTTAAAGTTGTTGCGTGGACGTCAAGCAAAGCCTCTTCATCTCTTTTATTTATTAAGTTTAAAGTGAGTCCCTGTGTGATGCAGTTCATGCTTTGTTATTCACAAGAGTTTACCTGAGTGTTGACCTAGATGTTTGATGTTTAGATTTGTATAAATCAGGAGCAATAATCGCTGGGTTTTCTAAAACAACCAGCGTAGAAAATCTGTCTTCTAGTTATGAATTAGGTTTTTTTATAGTGCTGTATTTTTCTTTACATTTTGGTTCTAGATCTAATAGTTATTATCATCAATAGTTCTATCCTGTCTGTCTTCAAAACTGTTGATTTTGATCATTTTGCTCCTTTTACATGCGTGATTCAATATTTTTTTATACATATATCTATATAGAAAGATAGATAGATAGATATGTTTGTTGAATTTTTGTCCACAATTTGGTCATTTTATCTTATTTGTAACCATACGCTACACTAAATATAGTTTTGATCAAGTACAATGTTTGAGCTGAAAGTAAGTACAAATATTGCCCAATAGTCATTGTTTTTTTTTTTTGGTTCCTTTTTTCCAACAGTTTTTGAGACATTTTCCATAGATATTTTTTTTAACTCCGTGTCTCCTGTCCCCCACTTAGAGACAGAGGACAGTGTACAGACTGACGCTGGTGAAAGCATGGAATGTGGAGGAGATGCAGGCTTACTCTGAGCTCATTGCTCTGGGACAACCCGACTTTATTGAGGTTAAGGTAAGACTTGTCAAGATTTATGAAATATCTATAGTTAATTATTCATACTCTTTTATGGAGCAATTCTTATTATCTACTTATCTTTGATGTTTTTCTGCATAAATAAACAAGTATAGACAGAATGTTTGGTTGATATACTTTAAAAAAGAACAAATTAAAGCAAATTGTAAGAGATGTCAGATGTCGTTGACATAGTTTTGTGAAAATGAGTACATGCATGAATTTATATTCAAGCAAGTATTTTGATCAGGGAAATAATCATTAACTTAATTTAATTTCTGGATTGTGAAACAAGCTGATCGCCCTCATTTATCTCATCAAAACATTTTTAATCAGCACTGCTTTACTTTTATTTAATGAAAAAACCTCATTTACTGTATTTAAATAAAAAGTGCATCTTTTTGTAGAGAAACCGATTGTTTCAGAGAATGCAGATCGAATTTTTCACACAAAGTGGAAAACAAGAACTTTTTACATTTTTTCTGTTAAAGATATTTAATTACATTTATAACATTGAACTTTTCATTTTGCCCATTGAATTTTATTTTTGAGCTTCAGTTGACAACAATTTATGTTTCTTGTGCAAGACTTTGGGGAAAATGAATTACCATTTCCTTTTCTTGAGCCACATAAGGAGCTATTTCCGTTAAAAATGTTCATTAGATGAAATTATTTAAACTGTATTTACTGTAACGTAAAAAATACATGCATTTGTAAAGATATATTTATTTATTGCTGATTAGGTTTTTTTTTGTTTATTGTTGGGATTTGTTTGTACAGAAAAAAGGTTTCCTCTTTGCTTCATTGCCTAAAATGTAAAGTCAGATTTGCAGCATTTTTATTCCCTTTTCTAGTTCTCACCAATCTATATATTTTAACCGGCTTAGATGAAGTTAAGATGATATTCTTAAATATTATATGAATTTCAATCCTTTTGAAGCCCTTTAAGTGGGAGAAGTCGTAAAAGGAGTGGGCTGTGGACCCTGCTGACCTGAGTGTGGCGATTTGGCGAACATTGTATTATTACAGCTGGAAGTGGCACCTGGTGATAGTTTGAGTTGTGGTTGTCGTAGCAACAAACGAGCAGCAAGTATGTGTTCATTTTTTCAGAAAATCAAGGTCTTGTTCCAGTCAGAATAGAACAATAATCAGAGGAAAAGGTTTGTTGAATTATTTCTCTGTAATAGCCCCTCATTGTTAAAAAGAACAAAAACAAACAAACGACTGAGAATGAGTTTAGGATACAAGGAATACATGTGGAGTTTAATGTTTTGAAGTTTCTCCTATAGGACATTCATTGTTTTTCGTCTTCAGTTAATCAGAGCCAGGATCTTCTATTTAAGTGAGAGCTGGGATTAATTACACCTATTTTAATGCTCAGGTGCAAGTGAGTTGGTCACTTAAGTCTTCATTCATGAATACACTTCATACTTCTAATGTAAAGCAGCTGTCATTTATAAAGTTGTGGACAAAAAAAAAACACAAAAGAAAAATTGAAAAGCTTCTGAGTGTTTATGAAATACCTGTTCCTAAACAGAAGCAAACACAACACTAACTTCCCACATAGTCTAATTTAGGACACGTTTTGGCTATTTGACAGTGTTTGATTTTTTTCCTTGCGGTGGAAGCTTTCATTAACCCAAACAGGGTGTCAGTAAATCAAACTAAAACCTAAAAAGAGCTTATAACATTTCTACTCAGTTATTTGAAATATTAGAACCACTGATCACATTTTCTTTCTTTTTTGTAGCAGGAATCACTTCTGGAGTCATTTAACAATCGGCTTAACTTTAAATAATGCATCTTTGTACCTATTCTGTGCTGATAGCATTAAGCAACATTTTCTATAAAGTATAACATATAAAAAAAAAAGATGTAAATCCCTTAATTGTCCTATAATGGGGGGATTTGTTCTCTTGTGGAGCAGTGGGCTGCCATTGTGCGGCACCCAGGGAGCAATAATGGCTTAAGGATCTTGCTCAGGAACCCAGAGTGGAGGCTGTATTGATCGAAGCAGGAATTTTCAATCTTCTCAGAGCAAAAACACACTGCTCTAACCTACTAAGCCAACACTTCCCTACATGCCTGTCGAAAGTTTACTACGGCCTATTAAAAAAAATAAACTCTTATTTATATAATAACATTAAAGCAAATAGAGCTCCGCTATCAGAAGATTATCAGGATCAGCATATATTCAAATTCTTTCAGGTTTTAGGATTAGATTAGAGGTAAAAAAAAAAATAAATATAGGTACATCTCTAGTTTACATTTAAGGTGGAAAGTTAAAAGCACAAAAAATTCAACAAGAAAATACATTTACATTCAAAAGAAAGGATGAATTCTGTTTGCATCCTATTAAATATATTATTTACTATAAATCACTGAGAAGAGTGCTAAAGGATCATTTATGTGTAACAAACTTATCTTATCACTCTCAAATCTACAAACCATGTTAATGGGAAAACCTGAGTTGCATACTAAAGGGAGGCGACATCACTTCCTGTCCCTCAGTTCTCTATACAACTTGTGAGTGGTGAAAGTCGTGTGTCAGATATCAAGCTTATGCACAGGAATGTGTATACTATAATACGACACACGAAAGTTGAGAAATGTTCAACTTTTGCCACTGTTGCATGGCATAAAAAGCAATCATTGATGTTTCATTGACTTTTAGCCGATTAGAGGAGAGTTTTTTTATACACTGCAGTCTGCAACTACTTTCTGCAACTACTTTTACCCTAACTTGTATATTTGTTGCAGAATTCACCAATATAGTTGTATATCCTGTTTTCCTAAAGTCATTCTGCCTAAAATCCTTTTAGGGTCGTATTACTGAAAGGGCTCTATAATTTCAATTCTTTTACTGATCAGCAATGTTTACAGGGAATCGGTTTCTACCTTCTAAACCTGTGAAAGCATTTCCTTAAAGTTTTAGTACAGCTGTTTTACAGATAAATAAATTTTTTCCAAGTTAAGAACATTTTACTCCAAGTCTTCCGTGGAGTGGATGTGCCAAGAAACTAATGAATATTCATAACAAGGAAAGGATAAGAAAATTTAACAAAAACTGCTTCTTTGGAAGCAGAAGTCAAGAAAAAGATGTAAGGACAGATTACAAAAGCAAACCTTAAGCTCTTAAGGAAATAATCAGATTTCAATCTACAATACCTTTGTAGACAGGAGCTCATTGTAAACTCAGTGTCTATCAGATGCTTAGATCCTGTGTCTCCAAAATTAGAAGTCCAAATCAGTTTTCTTCCACCGTAAAAGGTTAAGAAATTTGTGCTATTCCACAATAGCAATAATCTATTCCATTTAACTCTCACTCAACTTTGCAACCTACATTTACTGCCAGGGATCTCTTATGATCTGTCCAAAGGACATTTGCTCCAGAGCTAATTCAGATGCATTTTGCAAACCTGAAATGTCATCCCATCTTATTTTTTAGGTTTTTCTCTGTATATTCAACATACTAACTGAAGTCTGTGGAATTTCTAAGATCAATTTCTAAGGTATTTTACAGTTACTCTGAGCTTTGCACAGTCTGAATAGCGAATGTATTTTCTGTTACAGTCCTGGGATTGTAGATGGGCGTCTAAGATTCTGTCATGTGAACAGATTTTAAATAGTCATAAATGGATTTCGTCTTTATATTCAGAGATAATTGGCCAATTGTGTCGTCTTTTCATCTACAAAGTTTGATCAAACCAGTTTGATCAGCAGCTCCTGGCTTCTATTAAATCATTTCAGAACCTGGTTAATAATTTGCCCCTTTATATTACTTAGTGATGGATTAAAGCTTTATAGAATGTACTTCGTTTTAACTAGTTGTTGCACCATTTTATAGGTTCATTTTGCTCCATATTAGGCCATGGGAAAATATGTGACATAAGTCTTTGAAAGTTTTCATCTTTGACCCTTAATTCTCTCATGCTGGTTAAAAATTCTCATTAAATTATTTTTACAGTATTGTTTTACTGCAGTTGCACCAGCAAGTCTATATAGTTGTATAGTCACACACATTTGAACTCTTTGTTAACCCTTTTACTGTTAGTATCAACTTTTCATAGCAGATTCTAAGGATTGGTGATGAATGGGTTCATTATTTGAAAAACAGATTGATTTCTCTAATTCATTCCTTAGTGTTTAGTAGTTCAGTGATGTCAGCCTGTTGTTTTCATTCTTAGATATATGCTTAACACTGACAACGTAGCTGATAGTACCACTCTCTGCAAACCTTTGGGGTGTTATATTTTCTTTGTTTACGATGGAACAGCCTGCCAGCTGGTTTATCAAGCATGTTTCACAGTTTGGATTTAGCTGCTTTTCAAATTCAGGTCAACTCCCAAAAGGGTGGATTGAATTTTTCTGTACATATATCTGTCATTTTTATTTGATTTTTTTCATGTAACCAAAGGGATTGTGATCTATAAAAAGTAAATCTGAGATTTTATTTTTAAGATATTTCGCCCAGCGCTCAGAGATTGAGATTTAATGCATTTCTGTTTGCATATTTCATGCAATTAATTCTACATCTGATTTCATACCAGTTGCTGTTTTTGGTTGTTTTTTTTTCTTTCTTATGTGTAGGTCTATTGAGACAAAGCAATTTTGATTTAATATTATAGTATCCTGTCGGTGCCTATGAGGCTGCTTTAGTGGTAAAACGGACACATAATCAAAGTAAATGTGTCCAAGTGAAAGTTTAAAGCATCTCACCCTTTACAGCCAGAAGGAGAAAAAACTCTTTTTAGTCATTGTTTGTTACAGGTATATTGTCTGGACATTATAGAAGCAAATATCAAACAAATCCTAAAAGATGATTATGTTTTTCCTGACGTCAGTGTGGTTCTCAGTGAATCTCTTTGTCCTTAAGGTGTTTGGTTTATATTAAGATTCTTTTCCACACTGTCAGAATAAACTTTTGCTCTTATTTCTGTCTTTTTCCCCACATAATTATCTTCTCTATTACTCCCTCTTATCTCTCTGACCCTTCCCTT